AAAGTTTTAACCACTGGCACGTGTAAAAATCACATGCATATCAATGGAGGATTGTAAAATTTTTAAATCAGACACGTTCATTTTTGCCATTTGACTTACTTTGTCTTACTTTGGAGAATTTGAAAGAAAAGAAATGAGAAGCGAGACGGAACCTAAAGCCGACGAACTACAAAAAATAAATAAAGAAATATCCAAAGCTGTTAGACAAGACACTCGAAAATACAACCAAGAACAAATCGAACATACCATTGAGAACAATAGAAGTATAAAAGTATTGAGAAAAAGACTAAGAACGGAGACAAGGCAGATAATAAAGATTAAAGATAGAAATCCACCAACCAACAGAGAGGAATCCTTTAAAATAGTTGACTTCTACAAATTGCTGTACAGAACAAGAACAAGTACCAGAAATATTAACAAGGAAAAAGGGCATTGTCAATGCCCTTATTAATACACATAATTTACAATAGACGAAATAAAACTAGCCCTAAAAAAAGCTAAGAATAACAAATCTCCTGCGAAGATTGAGTATTACTGATGCAATCAAAATCGGAGGCACTTGCCTACTTAAGAAAATAAAAAAAAAACTTTTGTTTTTTTATTTTATTTAAATATGTGCCTTTTAAACAGTAATATACCAGACAAATGGCACAATGCTAAGGTAATTCTATTGTACAAAAAAGAAGATCCCATGAGAAAAAACTTGATTTCTAACAGCTAATAGAGCAAGCCGGATTTCGTACCGGATTTGGAACAAATGATTACCTACAGAGCATTAAAACGGCAATAGAAAAGACTATCGAATACAATCGACCACTCGTTCTGGCTTTTGTAGATTTCCATAAAGCTTTTGACACGGTAGAATTTGACAAAATCATGGAAGCACTAAAAGCATACCGCATTGGCTACCGATATACAAGGTTAATTTACAATACATATTCTTCTTCTTCTTAGTCGTTAACCTGATGCAGGTATCGTGATATCATGAAGCTATTAGCTAATTTTCCCAATGTTCCTCCACGTTTTTCTATCTTCTGCCATTCTAGCACATTCTGACAATGGAGCGCCAATGGTAGCAACAATATGGTCCGTGTATCGTGTGAGAGATCTACCTCTATTTCTTTTGCCTTCTACTTTTCCCTGGATGGTAAGTTTTTCAAGACCATTTCTTCGAAGCACATGTCCAAAATAGCTTATTATTTGTTCTGATATTTGTGTTCTTAGTCTTTTCTTTATGTTTAGCTGGTCCAGTATGGATTCATTTGTTCTTCGGGCCACCCATGGTATTCTCAGCATTCGTCTCCAGCAGTACATCTCAAATACATCTATGTTCTTTTTGTCTTTCTCAGTAAGGGTCCAGCATTCCGATGCATAAGTAAAAACTGGAAAAACTAGACTTCTTACTAGTCTCATTTTTGTATCGGTAGTTATTTCTTCAGTACAGCCTCCTTTGTTGGTTATTAATGAGTCCAGATACACAAATTTATCTACAACAGCGATATTGTTTATCATGACCAGATGATTTTGATTGTTGTTAGCTCTGTCAATTATCATGATTCTCGTTTTATCTCTGTTTATTTTAAGGCCCATCGTTAAGCTTACGTCTTCTATCCGTTGTAGCAGGTGAATCAATTCAGCTTCAGAACTAGCGAGGATAGTAGTATCATCTGCATATCTCAAGTTGCAAATCTTCTTCTCGCCAATGGTGATGCCACCGTTCCAGTCCTCAGTAGCTTTCCGCATTATCCATTCACCATAGATGTTAAATAGAATTGGGCTTAGTATGCAGCCTTGTCTCACGCCCTTTGTGACCCTGAAACTATCGGTTAGTTCCCCATTTATTCTAACTCTGGCATAATTGTTATTGTACAGGCTTTTAATTAGCAGTATCAGATGAATAGGGACTCCCATTTCAGACAAAACCTGCCACATTTTACTCCAGTTGACCAAATCGAAAGCTTTACTATAATCTATGAAGCACAAATATGTTGTGATGTTGAATTCTCTGGATTTTTCTACAATCTGCCGTACGCTTAAAATTTGTTCTCTAGTACCACGTCCGGGGACGAAATCTGCTTGTTTCTCCGCAATGTTACGTAGTAAAAAGGGCTTTATCCTCTCGAGAATTATGTGTAAGAGTATCTTACTGCAATGCCCAATTACAGCAATTGTGCGATAGTTGCTACATAAATCTTTCGCTCCCTTTTTATGTATGGGAATATATACAATACATACAAGAAGGCAATTATGTCGGTGAAACCATATAAAAACCCGGGTCATACCCCGATCGGCAGAGGAATCCGATAAAGTAATACCTTATGGTCTAAACTGTTTACCGCAGTACTAGAATATGTGTGTAAAATACTTAACTGGGAAGAGAAAGGCCTGAACATTGACGATAAAAGATTAACAAATTTGAAATTCGCAGACGACATAGTTTCGTTCTCGGACAACCTCAAGGAGATAAGTACAATGCTACATGAACGTCAGTTAGTGTGTGCTAATGTGGGTCTTAAAATAAACATCTCTAAAACAAAATTCATGACAAACCTATAATAGTAGCTAGCAAAAATATCAATATTGGAGACAATGAAGTAGAGCTGGTGGAAAAATGCATATATATATATATATATATATATATATATATATATATATATATATATATATATATATATATATATATATATATATATAGCGACGAAATAAAGATCACAAGAGAGAAACAAACATGCGAACTACGAAGAAGAATAAACCTATCATGGGCAGCCTATGGAAAACTCAAAAGACATTTTTAATCACTAGGACAATTGTCACCAAAGTTTAAATATTATTAAATACTTTACTTTACAATTTATCGATTTATTTGATATTTTAACAGATGCACGTATTGCGGACAATATTTTTGCACAATATACAAATACTTAAATAAACAACCTATAACATTTAATATGTTAATACTACAAAACCAATAATTTCTAATAATATTTTGAAATATTAATCTAACTAAACTATTTAGTTTATATTTAGATTACGATGGTAGTTTACATTATATTTCCAAACAAAAGAATACAGATACAACGTTGAGACACGAGTTTCAACAGCTGATAGTGTAGTTTGTATTTGATATCTACTTAAATATTCATAAAAATAATATTATTTATCTTTGCCTTCAATTGTTTCAATGTGGATTAATTCGAAATGTTGTTAGATAACATGAGTGTCGATTTCAATAAATTATATCTTAACATTCTTGTATTGTATTTAATTATTAAAAAAAAATGGATTTGTTAGTACGTTCTGCGTACAGAAATAATCTTTAAACATCTATACTCGATTTAGAAATGCTTGTTAGCGCAGTTTTTATGGCGTAAGATTACAACGGTCCATTCCTAGTTCCAGGCAGAAAAATTAGAAATACAAACTCTAGAAATAATAGAGCATAAAATGTAAATGAGCAAGCTTTGAGGATTTAAGCCAGAATTACATCTCTGTGATGAATATAAACTTACTTTACCATAAAAAAGAAAGTATTATCAATAAATCGCATCATCTTTATCACTACATTCGTCATTTCGCAAAGAAATTATATATTCTGTTGTGTCTTGTATTATCATATCGAGTTTACAGAGTTTATTCTTCTAAATGAAAAGAGAACATGGGCTAACGGTTGTGGGTACGATTCAGTCCCAACGAAAAGGGTTGCCTCAATTATGACCAATGTCAAAGACCGCCCTTTAGGTTCCTCTGTTTTTGGTTTTGGAGCACGTATGATGGTGACACCGCTTGTACCCAAAAAGAATAAAAATGTGTTACTAGTTTCATCCTTTCATCACACTGATACAGTAAATAATTCTATAATAATACCAAATGTGGAGTAGATATTGTAGATAAAATGGCGTCATCTTACGATGTGTCTAGATATACTAAACGATGTACGCTTGTGATTTTTATGGAGTTCTAAATATCGCCAGTATAAACGCTTTTGTAATTTCTAACATTCGACAAGTTGTTATGAACATGTTACTGCTATGACAAGTCTTCTAGCTTTTTGCCAATCGTCAGATCGTCAAATTTTTGATGGTATTGTTTCCTGCGACATATCCTTTTATATCAGCCGAGATTCGTTCAATGATAACTACTCTTTAAGTCCACGTCCTTTTACAACTTCATCTATAGCATAGTTTTTAAATTCTGATGAATGGAATTTATATAACTGTAAAAGATTTTTTTAAGTATTTTTTCAACCTTTATTTGTTTTCCTTGGTAATGATTCTTTTTATATTTAATGGTAACTGGGATTGCCCATAACTACGACATAATTCTTCTTCTTTTGGTGCCTATTCGTTTTGAATATTAGCGATCATTCTGGCTATAATTATTTTATTAACTGATGCTTTAAATAGATTAGTTGTTGTTGTGGAGAACCATTTCCTCAGGTTTTTAAACCATGATATTATTCTTCTCCCAATTCCTCGCTTTCCAAATACTTTGCCTTGAAGGATTATTTTCAGTAATCTGTATTTAGTGCCGTTTCTCATTATGTGTCCGAGATATTCTAACTTTCTTTTAATCGTATACATGCCTTCTCTTTTTTCCCCGTTCTTCGTAGTACAGTCTCGTTGGTTATCTTGTCCGTCCATGATATCCTTAGGATTCTTCTGTATAGCCACATCTCGAAGGCTTTAAGTTTTTTCTCCATCGCTTCAGTGAGTGTCCAGGATTCAACTCCGTAGTATGGTTGTGGCTTTTAAAGAGTTTGGCCATGTTGTTGAATGCACTCTTAGCCTTCTCTATTCTACATTTTACTTCTCGTGAATGATCCCATTGTTCGTTGTTTGTTTACCAAGCTTACCCTACAGTATTTCAATTATTATGTATTAACGATATAAGTTTGTATACACTGCAGGTATTAATATATGTGGTGAGTTCTTATTAACCTCAGAGCATAATTATTTATATAATATCCTTGGTATATAACTAACTATTTTGCTTTGATTTAGAATATCTTGGCTCTCAATCCGCGCGTTAGAGAATACTCCAATTTCGTTCCCTCGAGTGCCACCAAAAAGAACAAGACTCATTGGAAAAGAAATTTGGACAAGAAATGTAATGTAAGTATTTTTATCTTGTTTCAGATAAATATCGAAGTTCAATATAAAACATAGAAAGAAGATATATTGCTGGTGACTCCGAACAAAATAACTTAATAATTTTTCTGTAAAAATAATAACTCTTTAATAAGTGTAGGTGAAACTAATTATTTTTATTTGTGTGTCAGTATGACTCTAACTACTGAAATAGTTTTTCGAGTTTTCCTCAATAAATATCTACGTGGAATGTCAAAACTTTAAATAGAGCAGGCAAACTAGCAAATGCTGAAAATGAGATGACACGAATGAAGTGGGACATACTTGGTATGTGCGAAGTGAGATGGAAAGAAAAAGGATATGTGGATACAGTAAATGGCAACCGTTTCTATTAAGCAAGCAAAGATGATGATGTCCATTCAGGTGTAGGAGTGTTGGTAACAGCATCCATGAAACAACACACGAAAAGTTTCCTAACAGTCAGCGACAGATTAATCATTATCAAATTAAATGGACAACCATTCGACATCAATATAATACACGCACCGACAGCAGACAGGCCAGACGAAGATCTTGAGATTTTCTATTCCGATATTGAAAAGATTAAAAAACACATAAAATCAGACATCAACATATTTATGGGAGATTTTAATGCCAAAGTAGGAGCAGAAAAAGTCGAATCGATCATCGGCCCATATGGTTTAGGAACCAGGAACGAACAAGGCACACGCTTTGTTGAATTTTATCAAAAGAACAACCTGGTGGTTCTTAACACATGGTTTAAATTACCTAAAAGACGTCTATGTACGTGGAGGTCTCCTCAAGATTGCGAAGGAAATATTGTGAGGAACCAAATCGACTACATTACAATTAACAAAAGGTTCCGTAATGGTATTCTAAATGTAAAAACGTAGCCAAGCTGTGACTTAAATTCAGACCACAATCTTGTAGTGCAACTATCCGATTAAAACTTAACAGAGTAGACAAGGCTAAACCCAGTCAGAGAATAGCATGGAGTAGTGCTGACCAAGGACAGCAACAGAAGTATGAAGACATGGTAGACACGCAGTTAGAGTCTAAGACAATAGCTCCCACTAAGGAGAAGACAATAAAAGAAAACATTAAAGACATGTGGGGGAAAATTAAAAATACTGTCTTGGAGGCAGCAGACCAAAGTATACAGAAAGAAAACCGTAAACATAGAAAACCATGGATGACAAACGAAATATTACAAATTATGGAGAGGAGACGGATGGTAAAAAACAAAAACCTAACAATATACAAAGAACTCAACAGGGAAATTGAGAAAAAAATAAATGTAGCTAAGGAAGAGTGGATGAAAGAAAAATGTAAAGAGGTAGAAGATTTACAAATAAAGCATAAAAATAGAGACCTACACAAAAAGTTAAAAGAAGTAGCTGGAATACACTTATCGATTGTAACAAACAAGAAACACCAAATGGAATTGGACCCTGAAAAACAGAAAGAAATATGGGAGCAATATCTTAAAGATTTGTTCGGTGATCAGAGAACAGAAGAGTCCCCACAAATAGATACAAATGGAAAATTAAACATTCTCACCGAAGAAGTTTTGCGAACAATAAAAGACGCAAAGAACAACAAGGCACCCGGCGAAGATCTAATAACAGCCGAACATTTTAAACAACTAAGTGATAATGCTGTCAGAAAATTAACATACCTCTGCAACATTATATATGAACATGGCATAATACCGCATGACTGGCTAACATCCACATATATAGCTCTTCCTAAAAAACAAAAAGCAAGGAAATGTGAAGCCCATCGAACTGTATCCCTAATGAGTCATGCCGCTAAGATTTTTATGCGAATAATTTATAACCGAATTCACAATAAGTTTGAAGAATACCTAAGTCGTTCTCAATATGGTTTTAGAAAGGTGCTAAAAGAAGTAGGGTTGGACGGACACGATATAGCTATCACAAGTAATACATACTGGAACCATACAGGATGCGTTCGACCAGAGAACGGAAACACCAAGTACATCAACATGGAACAAGGAGTGCGTTAAGGGTGCATTTTGTCGCAAGATCGCCCAGAAGGTGCCAGGATCAATGGAATCAACAGAAGCCAACTAAAAATATTGATGAACATAGTATCAGAAGAAAGTCACAGGCTGGGCTTGGACATTAACTTTTCCAAAACCAAAATTCTGGTATTCCACAAAAGCTTCCATGAACAAGTTACTTCCAACATACAAATAAATGGTATCACCCCTCAGAGTTCAGGTCAACTAGACCAATCAAAAGAAATTAGAAGACGCATTGAAATAGCAAGAGATGGTTCAATGAATATGTCTGTCTCAATAAGATTGAGAACACTAAAGTGTTATGTGTGGTCTCTATTACTATATGGCTGTGAGACCTGGACATTAAAACAGTATGACGTCAACAAATTAAATTCATTTGAAATGTGGATGTACCGCCGAATGTTAAGAACAAGCTGGACCAGCAGAACCACGAATGAAGAAGTATTGAGAGTAGTGAACACACGCCGTCATCTGGTCAATACTATCAAAATTAGAAAGACGTCATATCTTGGACACATAATGGGCCATAGGGAGTTTAAGCAGCTTCAGGTAATATTAGAAGGCATAGTTGAAGGTAAAAGGTGCATAGGACGAAAGAAAAAATGTTGGCTACGAAACATCAGAGATTGGACCCACAAAAGAGAAAATGAATTAATGCATCAAGCCCAGAACAGAGATAAATTTGCCATATTGATCGCCAACCTCAACAGACAAGGCACTTAGGAGGAGGAGGTCTGTAAGACTATAACTACTAAAATAGTTTTTCGAGTTTTTTTCAATAAATATCGATGATAATATACACGATAAGAATATAAATTACCAATATTTGCAGTGACAATAATTACTTTTGGACTGCCATCGGCGAAAAACAATTTTTTCATCTGACTGCCGACGAAGACTATAGTCACTTTTAAATTATACTCTTTGCTGCGCCTTTTAGAAGCACCAGCGGTATACTATATAAGCAGTGGCTCACCTAGAATTTTCCTCTGTGGGGGGGTTTGGTTGGACATAGAATTTTTTTATGCTACCTTCATCATTTTAAGTTCTTAAAATTGTGAGTAACAGTGTCGGAATAGTGCCCTGGGGGGGAGTTTAACCCCCAAAACCCCCCTGGGTGCGCCACTGTATATAAGTAATGTAGTTTTACACTTTGCTTTTTTTTAATTTTCTAATATTATAGACGTATTATAAATGTATTTTACTTTTAGAGTTGTTCGTCTTTGGACAACAACTTTTCTGATGTCAAACCCACTACGTTGAGCGAAAGAGCCGCTCTAAGAGAAGCAGCCAGATGTTTAAAGTGCGCTGATGCTCCATGCCAAAAATCTTGCCCTACTCAGCTCGACATCAAGTCATTTATAACAAGCATAGCAAATAAGGTATATATGTTAATCAATATTATTATTGAACACATTTCTTCAAACAATTTTATTTTATTTTAGAATTATTATGGAGCAGCTAAAGCTATATTTTCCGATAATCCATTGGGTATTACATGTGGTATGGTATGCCCCACCAGCGACCTATGTGTCGGTGGATGTAACCTACAAGCTTCAGAAGAAGGGCCTATTAATATTGGTGGGTTACAACAATTTGCAACTGAGGTAAGACTGAGAAAAGGGCAATTTTGCTATAAAATATACGATATGATATGTTTTATATGTTATTTGTTATTTGTGCTAGGAAAATCTCACTCTTTATCTTCTTCTTCTTTTTCTTCTTCAAGTTCCACTCCTATCAGAGGTTGGAAATCATTCTGGCAATTATAATTTTATTGGTTACTCGCCTGAATAGTTCAATTGAACTGCATCCAAACCATTCACGGAGATTGCGTAGCCACGAGATTTTACGTCTTCCTACGCTTCTTCTACCTTTGATTTTACCCTGCATTATATTCCTTAGTAGTTCGTACTTTTCACCTCTCATGATGTGCCCCAAGTATTCCAATTTCCTGATTTTTATGGAATTTAAAACTTCGCATTGTTTTCCTAGTTGTTCGAGAACTTGTTCGTTTGTTTTGCGATCCATCCATGATATTTTCAAAATACGTCGGTAACACATTTCGAACGCTTCTAGGTTTTTAATGTTGGATTTTTTAAGTATTCAAGCTTCAACTCCATACAAAAGGGTAGAGAAAATATAACATCGAAGCATTCTTATCCGGAGCGATATATTGATATCGCGATTACTATGATTGTTTAATCTTTATCTATGATTGTTTAAATTAAATAAATAAATATGAGTTTTTTATCGAATTTTTTACAGATATTTAGTAAAATGGGTGTTAAACAAACACGAAATCCAAGAACCCCTAGGCCAAAAAATCCTGATTCTAAAATAGTTTTGGTAGGTGCAGGGCCTGCTTCTTTGTCATGCGCTTCCTTCCTTGGACGTTTAGGGTATGATAATGTTACGATTTTTGAAAAGAACGACGTCATTGGTGGTTTAAGGTAAGCATATTTACATTTCTTATAAATTGTATGTAAAATTTTGTTCCTAATTTTAATTTATTCCCTTCTTATTTTTAGTACCACTGAAATTCCCCAATACCGACTTCCAGCATCTGTAGTAAACTTCGAAATAAGCTTGATACAGGATTTAGGAATAAAGATCGAAACCGGCAGATCTCTTTCTACCAAAGATCTCACAGTAGATAGACTCTTGAAAGACGCCAAAGCTGTGTTCCTAGGGATAGGTCTTCCTCAACCCAAAATAGACCCGCTCTTCAAAGATTTAACCGCAGATATGGGTTTCTACAGTTCCAAATCATTTTTGCCTAAAGTTGCGCGGGCTAGTAAGAATACGGAAAACGCCAGTTGTCCTTGCAAGCAAAGTGCCGAGATGTTGCCAAAATTACACGGAAATGTGATTGTTTTGGGAGCAGGTGACACTGCTTTTGACTGCGCCACGTCAGCTTTAAGATGTGGAGCCAAGAAAGTCTTCGTGGTGTTCAGGAGAGGATTTACTAATATTAGAGCCGTACCAGAGGAGGTAAGTTACTGCAGGATATCTTAGATTTATACGTTTTTGTATTAGGCAGAATTCCTCGATCATATAACTGCATATTCTAACTGTAGGTGTCAGTAGCAGTTGAAGAGAAATGTGAATTGATAGGATTTTTGGCCCCTCATTCTGTCAATGTTAAAAATGGAAAAATAGTTTCCGTTACGTTCAGTAGAACTGAAGAAACTGAAGATGGCAAGTGGGTACAAGATACTGAACAGCTTAATACCATCAAAGCGAGCTTCTTAATATCAGCGTTTGGATCAGGAGTAGAAGATCAGGAAGGTAAGATTATTTTTTGTCTCTGTTGGTTTTTTTGTTTCTTTCTGTCTACCTATTGAAATTTTGTCTAAGGATATAACCAGTTATAACAAAAATTGGTAAGTTTACGTCTTCAGTTTAAGTCTGCCTTCAAGCAGATTACACTTCCGATCTTTTCGCTGGTTAGGTTAGATTAGATTAACTGAAGGGAGATGGAATAATGTTTGCTGTAGTTTCCATTTAAATATGTCTAACTTTGCCGCTCTTATTAATATTAAATCTTTAATTTGTATATCTGTGGATACTGTAAAAACAACATTAATCTTCATCTCTTCCTTCTAGTAATCGCTGCTTTAGCTCCCCTGAAACTAGGACCTAACAACCTTCCAGTAGTTGATGTTAATACCATGCAGACATCTCATCCTTCAGTCTGGTGTGGTGGTGATCTCGCTGGAGTCGCTGAAACTACAGTGGAAGCTGTGAATGATGGAAAAATAGCAGCCTGGTACATCCACTGTGATTTAGAGGTAATATCCTGTACAAAACTCAACTAAAAGTATTGAAATTAGGTATTTTTTAATACAAAAAAAGAAAGGCATGTCTTAAAAATCATTAGATTTATTACGACAGAAATTAACTGCCTTAAAAACGACTTTGCAGGTCCAAATCTAAACTATATCTAAAACATATCTAAACCATATCTAAATGATATCTAAACCATTTAAAAATCACATATAAACCATATGTATGCTTTAGATATGGTTGAGAAATTATTTAAAAATAGTTTAGAGTTTATAACCGGTTTGGAAATGATCTAGAATAGTCTAGGAAATGCTTTAGATAAGGTTTTAGAGTTTAACATGAACTACAAAACCACAACTTGCCTTGCTTCATTTATCCCTATCCACACTATCTAAATTAATGTTGAAAAATGTTTAAGAAATGGTTTAGTATAGTTTAAAACTTATTTAGAACTTTCAACAGGTTTGGAAGTGGTTTATAACGGGTTGGAAATGGTTTAGAAAAGGTTTTTATATGTTTTATAGGGTTTGCCCCCAATTATACAACACAAATTACCTGTGTATTATACAGTTGCATTGAAAATATTTTTAATACAATACAGAAAATGAGTTGACAAATATTAGGTTTGCCTGTGCAGCAATTTACTGCCTTTGAAACGATTTTGCAGGTCAATATCTAAACCATCTAAAAGAAACCAAATCTCAACCGTCTGAAAGACGATTAAGAAATGATTTTCTACAGTTTAAAACTTGGTTATGGTTTTTAACAGGTTTGGAAGTGGTTTATAACCATTTAGATATGATTTAGAAAAGGTTTTATGGTGTTTTAGGGTTTACCAGCAACTACAAAACCAAAACTACCCCTGTTTCACACGGATATAGATGAGGTGGACATTTCTGTAGATATATGCGGTGTAAAATTCGAAAATCCTTTCGGATTGGCTTCAGCTCCTCCTGTAACCAGTGCTCCGATGATCAGAAGAGCATTTGAACAAGGGTGGGGCTTTATTGTGACGAAGACATTCTGCTTAGACAAGGTTAGTACTTGTTTTAAAGAGAACACTCCTTCTAAAAACTAACAACAATAGAAAAACATGTTGTTTCTTTAGTTTTATTATCCATTACGACTACTGATCAATATTCTATTAGGATTTTATTGTCTTTTAGAATGAAGTAACGAATATATCTCCTCGAATCGTCCGTGGCTCTACATCAGGTAATAATTATGGACCACAACAAGGCTCATTCTTAAATATCGAAGTTATATCTGAAAAATGTTTGGACTATTGGCTACAAGGAATAAGAGAATTGAAGAAGGATCATCCCACCAAGGTAAATTTATTATCATACATTTTTAATTGTTTAAGTCAGGACATTCATAAAAAAATAAGGAAATAAAAGTTACTTAATAACTCACTTAAATGCAAACATCACAAATTCTAATTGAATGAATTATTATCGCTTACAATTCGCACTAATATCGCTAACAAAATAATTCGCCAATAGTAATGATCAAAAGCCGCTTCGGCTGGCTTATATAAGGAGAGTGAAATGTCCTGGAAAACCTCATTTACCGGGCACCGAAAAAATCTTCGCATCGATAGAAACGGTATGTGAAATATTCGGCGGTAAAGAGAGAATTCTCGACTTCGTTAAAGCACAAGGCTTCAATTAGAGGATGTAACACAAAAATATTTTTATCAGATTTTTAGTTTTCATGATTCGTCTTTCATGTGTAACCTGCTTGAAATGGGCTACAAAGTTTTATTTCGTTCGATAATCATTTATTATTTTTACTATACTTATAAACACGTAATAAAAATACTCGTTTTTAGATCATTATTGCTAGTGCTATGTGTGAGTATATCGAAAAAGATTGGAGAGAAATAACAAGAAGAGTAGAGGAAGCAGGAGCTGATATGTTGGAGCTTAACTTAAGTTGTCCTCATGGAGTCAAAGAATCTGGAATGGGATTGGCTTGCGGACAAGTAAGTATTTCTCATAGATAATTCATTGAATAGTAGCAACAATTTTCTAATAATCATATTCTTATAAGATGGTTTAGTGACATTAAAATTACTTTCTAATTGCTTTCTACAGTTATATTTAGCAGGTTTTGAAAAAAACAAAAATTAACGATATATTTTGTGTTTAGAATCCAGAAATGGTAAAGAATATTTCCAGTTGGGTTAGAAGTACAGTAAAGATACCATTTTTCATCAAATTGACACCAAATATTACCGATATTACAGTTTTGGCGCAAGCTGCAAAAGATGGTAAGTCTGTAACCTTCACTTTACTTTATTATTATTATGCGAATTATTTATTTATGACTCTACAGTTTCGGATGAAACGTTCGGCAAGCTCTACTATCAATTATTTACAAGAAACTCTGTCTTATAATTATTTTGTGTGCTTGTGTATTTTTACTCTCTTTATATCTACTTATCTCGCTCCTTTCTACAGTTTGTCCTTTTCTAGTATTCTATTTGACATTTTTGATGTCTTCTCAATACATATTTTTGAAAGTGTTTTTTCTTTTTCATTATTTCTATATTGTTTGTTTAGACAATTGGGGCATCTTTTGATCTCGATAGCTTCTCAGGCGATCTCTGATTTGAGAAAACAAATAAAGGTTACAGTTTTGGAATTTTCCAAATATATTTTACTGTTCAAGTGCATAACTTAATTACACTGGTACTTTTCCTTTATATACTTTTGTTTTTATATTTGTGTTGATTAAAAACTACTAGCTATATCATAATCGGTGTTACGTAGCGATTTTACAAAGTTCTAGTAAACACTATGTAATTCCTTTGATTCCTCTTTTATTGTTCAACAATATTTAAGACATATGGCCTGTTTTGGACAAGATCTGGGTCACCCTAAGTTGTAGCTCTTTTATTCGGTCGGAGAATAAGTCTGGCCGTATAATAATATATTTTCTATGTGATCAATATGTCTAAACTCATTTTGACTATGTTCTTCTTAGGGTGCCTATCCGTTCCGAACGTTGGCAATTATTCTGGCTATGATGACTTTGCTGGTTGCATTTTTTTGGCCATCACTATATTTGCTCCATAAAGTTAATAAAATGATATAAATTAATTTTGTTTTTAGTGTTAGTGTTAAAGACTGTAAACAAATTAAAATAAGTGTAAAAATAAAATAACATACTTAACAGTATGCCTCTTTTAATTTAGGAGGAGCTTGGGGTGTCTCAGCTATCAATACCATATCTGGTTTAATGCACATGAATCCAGATGGTACTTCATGGCCAGCAATTGGTGTAGATAAAAGAACCACCTACGGTGGCGTCAGTGGTAATGCGACTAGACCTGTAGGACTTAGAGCCGTTTCCGCAATAGCAGATAAAATACCAGATTTGGCGATATTGGGTAAATATAAATTTATGATTATTGACGATAAACCGTGTACTATTAAATTAAAATTGAGTTAATCCATAGTACATCTTTATTATATTGTTTGGGTAATGGCTTTCCGAAAAAATATTGTTTGTAACACAACTGCTATGACTATTCACCTAGTAATCATGATTTTTGCGCTATAAACCATTTTCTGTTTAAAAATTCCTCTTCACTCACTACTACATTCACAATGCTTATTGTAGGTGTTGGAGGTGTAGAGTCTGCGGAAACAACATTGCAATATTTGCAATGTGGAGCGTCTGCAGTGCAGATCTGTAGTGCAGTTCAAAACCAGGACTTCACTCTTATCGACGACTACTGCACCGGCCTTAAAGCTTTGTTGTACTTAGATGGAAAACTAAATGGTTGGCAAGGACAGAGTCCACCTACGTACAAACATCAGAAAGGAAAAAATGTTGTGCCAGTTTATGATGGAAATGGAAAGGTATATTTTATGCTGTAGTTTTATTGTTTTTTTACCGTAACTATTTTTGCTTAGAAATTACCTCACTTCGGCAACTACCAAAAGAAGAGGGAAGAGATACTTAGCAAACTCTACAAGGAATCCAAATATAACGATGAACCACTACTAAATCATGAAGACAAAGCCAAATCAGATCTTGCTAATGGAAATGGTTTACAGAATGGAACCAATGGATTTACCGTAAAGGGTGTCAAGGATATAATTGGACGAGCTTTACCGAAAATTGGGGATTACAAGTTGTTAAACAATAAAGAGCAAGTTGTTGCTTTAATTGACGACGTAAGTACTTCATTATACTTTTTAAAAATATTTTAAATCTCGTTTTTATAGTATTTAAGAGAATATAAGTCCATTCGTACGTGGTTAGCTGCTATAAGTATTAATATATCTGTATGGTTTATAAGAGAAATGATTCTGCTAGAATCAGGGTCTTTAAGTTCTCGCTTCACCCTTCATATTGTTTTTTTATTTGTATGATCTGTTGACACACTTTTAAAGGCAAAATCGTTACACCAAATTTTTGTATGTTTCCAAAATTTTTTTTAAACAGATTTAGTCACAATTATAGTAGCTCACCGATTATTATGTAGTGTTCAAATTAAGCATATTGTGAAGATGATGTAGTGTCTTTATTTGGAAAAATATTTGTAGTTATGATTTTTGCCTACATTATCATGAACCACAAAAGCTCCATCAAAGTGAAAGATACCAGAGGGGCAGAGTGTGGAACAGATCACAAACTTGTGGTGGCATGGATGGAATTCCCCTATATCTGGACAAAACAAAAACATACATCGATTGTTACAAAGGGAACGACAATAAACGAAAAGAGGCTCAAATTACATCTATTACAGGAAGAATCAATAAAAGATCTATACAAAAGAAGACTAGACAAAAAACTAGAAGAATTCAGATATGACACGTTAGATGACATGCATGAACACATAAAAACCTGCCTGATTTCAGCGGCCTTAGAAGCTCTTTGAGAAGACGACCAAAGGAACACCCATCAGAATATCAAATTAAGGGAAGACACATTGAAATGTATAAAAGAAAAGAAAAAACTACATATAAAATACCTAAACACCAAAAAACAGGAAGACTTAGACCTACATAGAGCGAAAAACAGAGAGGTAAAGAAAAGAGTAACAAATGAAAAGAACGAACGATGGGAACAAGCATGCACAGAGATAGAACGACATATCGGAGGAACGAGAAATTCAGAATCATGGCGAATATTAAAAGCACTCCAACGAAATAAGACAGAGAAAACCCAGATCGGCAAAATTAGTGAAAACGAGTGCCAAGAATACTACGTAGAACTACTTACAGAAAACCGTCCCCAATTTCAGGAAGAGAATACAGAACATGCAGGAAATGGGACATATGACCAGATAGAAATAAGTCTGACAGAAGTCAAGAGAGCAATCAAGACATTGAAGAACAAAAAAGCCAAAGGACCCGGAGAGATACCAAACGAACTAATTAAAAACGGAACGGAAAAGTTATTCCGCATGCTACACAGAATGTTCGAAAGAGGACTAAATGGAGAGCAAAAACCTGCGGAATGGACACAAGCATACATCACATCCATACATAAGAAAGGAAACAGGAAAAAATGTGAAAACTACAGAGGAATTAGTATAATATCGTCGGTAGGTAGACTTTACGGGAAAATTATCAAGGAAAAACTAGAAACTGAAATAATAGGAAAAATTAGAGAAGACCAAGCTAGGAAAATCATGCCTAGATCATACGTACACATTAGAACAACTAATAGAGAAGAAAATGGCAAAAGGTAGACCGGTCCATCTGGCGTTTGTTGATCTAAAGAAAGCATACGACTCAATACCTAGAGTCAAATTATGGGAAGCAATGAATGATCTCAGAATCCGACAAACACTAATAAAAGCAGTTAAAGCACAGTACAAAGAAAACAAAGTAGCTATTAAATGTGGAAATAAAGGCTACAATCCATTTAAGACGACAAAAGGACTTCTACAAGGCTGTGCTACGTCCCCTACTCTGTTTAAAATATTCTTGGAAAATACACTCAAACCATGGAGGAGAAAGTGCGAAGGAATGGGCATACCAGTAAGAGACGAATACCTATATACCTTAAGTTTTGCCGACGATCAAGTAGTCATCGCACAAGATGAAGAAGATCTCAGCTTTATGCTCAGAAAACTAGAAGGTGAATATAAAAACAACGGAATGGAAATAAACTTAGAGAAAACGAATACCTAACAACAGAAAACAAGGATATGAGAAACCTAGAGATAGACGAGGGAAGACAAGTAAATGGAACAGATAAATTCAAGTATTTAGGAACCATAATATCGAACCAGGGAACAACAGAAGATATAAACAACAGACTAAGACAAACAAGAAACTGTATAAGACAACTATATTCAGTGCTGTGGGATAAGAACATTACGATAAAGACAAAAAAGAGAATATATAATACCCTGACAAGAAGTATCCTGACATATGGGTCCGAAAACTGGACAATAAACAAGAGAAATAGAGGTAGAATAAGAGCAGTAGAAATGGAGTTCCTGAGGAGAAGCTGTAGACTTACAAAAAGAGACAGAATTGAAAACGCAGAGATTAAGCGGAGAATGGGAGTGCAATCAGACATAATCGACTATATAGAGGAGAAGAGACTACTGGGACCTGGTGACCTGGTACGGCCACGTCAGAAGAGCGGACAGAGGACGCTGGATAAACAAAATACCAGAATGGAGCCCGATCGGAAGAAGAAAGAGAGGAAGACCCCGAAGGTCATTCAGAGACGAAATCGACGAGGCTATGGAGAAAAGAACCCTGCGAGATGGAGACTGGAATGACAGGAAAAATTGGAGAAAACGGTTGAGTGAAGGAAGATAGTGAAAACTGTGGAAATCCTTAGTAGTAGTAGTAGTATGATTTTTGTTAACCTTAGTTTTTTTGTTCGTTTTTGTTAGTTTTTTTTTGTTTTAGGATATGTGTATCAACTGCGGAAAATGTTATATGGCTTGCAACGACTCTGGGTATCAAGCTATCCATTTCGACCCAGAAACTCACATTCCCCGTGTCAATGATGACTGCACCGGCTGCACAATGTGTCTTTCCGTGTGTCCTATTATAGATTGTATTACGTAAGTATTTCTTAAATATTTTTATTTTGACCATCTCTAATAATACCATGTTATACGCCTGACCAGCGTATAGCAGAGCAATACCTAAAAGAACAAATAAAACAGTTCATTTTTCAAAAGGAGAAAGAACTTCGTGTAAGAGCTAGCTTAAAACTATACATTATACAAAATGACAAAAATGGACGTAAACTACGTTAAGCTTGACTTTAATTTAAGGTAGCATGTTGTGCTGCATAAAGGTTTGTTCACAAACCACCTGTTTTTATTGATTTGTGGATATTGATTGTGGTGATTTCTTCTCCAACCAGCCCATTATAAAGTTATGTTTTCTCCGTCAGAAATCCACGACGTCTTAAACCGCATCGAATTTAAATACACCAAGTTTTCGACGTCCCCTCTGGAGTCTTCATCAGAGTTTCCGGGTGAAGTGATCTGGGGGCTAAGAATACTGGGAAGAGACTGAGATCCCGGAAGCTTTGATGAAGACTTCAGAGAGGAAGTCGAAAGCTCAGTGTACCTTGGTAAAGTGTTCTTTGAATGTATATGAAGTACGACGTACAAGTCTACATAAAACTTTGAACGATAAGTGAGGAAAATTGTTTCTAAAAACAAATAAAAGAAAGTTTTGATTTGGTTTTAAATGTAACAAACAACAACACCGTTATAAATAAAACAAGCTACTCTAATTAAAAAATAGTATTTGAGTAGGTCTTTCGATCTTAATGCCAAAACGTCAAATAAAGATTTTTGATTGTGGTTTATTCTAAGGGGTACATTTTTTTTGTATTTAATTATTTATAGATTTTTTTTAATTTTAGGATGGTACCAAAAACCATACCGCATGTGATCAAAAGGGGTAAAATTGGTAGTCCAGTGAAATTAGTGCACGCGTTGAACTAATCTGATCTATAGTGCCCGGTCATAGGTTTAGTTTTAGTCAATTATAATCACTTTATGATTAAATATTATTTTTTTGTGCTGTTGTTTCTTAATAAATGAAGTACAATTTGTTATTTTTATTTAAATCAAACTATAGTTTGTTTACATCATATTTATAGCAAATTATTGGAAATACACTATGTCACTGCTTCATCTAGTGGACTCTAAAACGTACACAGATAAGAATACTGTAAAGTCTTTATAAATTCTAATTTATTGTTATTATTTTAATTTACTAAAATACGATAATTTATTATCAATTTATTAAATCACTGTACAATAATTTATTTTCGACTAATAATTACATAATTTATTTACGTGCGTTACATTTTAAAAAACGATCGCGTGGTCTTCTTTTTGACTGCTTCCTTAATGAAAATTCCCGTTATTTATATGAAATGTCGTCAGTATGGGATCTCTTGCGAAGCAGATGGAGGTTGACCTGAATTGTCTCGAACTGGTTTTTTATAGCGGCCTGTTGCCAGAAAGTTCGATTGTTGTTTTTATAGCGGAGGGGAACCCATCTTGTGTCAGGTAGGTATTACCTAGAACATACGTGAATGAATGAGAATATTAGTAATAGATATGTTTACGGTTTTTAATATGACTCATATTTTTTTACGTAACAATACGTCAGACTGATGCATCATTCTGCTCCACATCGTCTACATAATTGGTTTATATATAAGGGCATTGGTTTTACTAACACTGTTCACTTTAATAAAAAAGGGCATTTTCAACATTAAAAATTGTTCATGTGCCCTAAATAACCACTAACTAGAAGACATTGTCTGCTTTCTTCGAATAAACGTACGACAAAAAGACTGAAGAAGAGTAAACACTGTTGACAGCCACGTTTTTCAAAGAGGTAAGCAAATTGAACCGGAACAGCTCACCAAGGAAAGCATCACTACCGAACTGAATAAAGTCCAGTGAAAAAACACGGCTAGTGAAAGAAGTCATTTGTTTAACAAACATAATAAACGCAATGCTAAGATATAAACTCTTCAATAATCGATGAAAAGAAGCGCATGTCAATATGATCCACAAATAAGCAAAATAGCAGAACGATTTCTTCTTAAAACCAAAATGTTACAAAGAGAAAGACAAAGACTAGAGTTAATGCCAGAAGTTCATTTCGAATTTAATGCTTAGCACTAGAGCGATTTGGAGCTAGGAGAAACGAATCTTGTAGATATTTATCAACTTAGTGAAAGAATAGAGCAAAGTGAGTAGAGGTTTATAAAAAACGAGTTTGATTTTTTGAAAGAGGAAAGTACGAGTTTTCTGTGTTTAACAGTTAAATCGTTTTTTATTGTTTGTATTTATAGTTACATATCTTATTAGGCGGAATCATTGTTGTAGGGGAAAATCGGACATGAAATAGAAGAATTATAAGATCATCTGCATAGTACAAACGTGTTTTATTTATCAAAACACTCACTGCAATAGTGGCACATCTCAAATTGTTGCTGTTTTGAGTTTTAATACTTAAAATACTTAGCTTTTGAAGCTCTACCTCATAACAATACTGGCATATATATAGCTCATTCTCCGCTAGATAGCGTAAATGACGTTATTGACTTTCGCGCATTTTTGCCACATCTGAGGAGCAACACCGGCTCAACAGTTTAGTAATACGTTGACAACCCTCTACAAGTGCACAAGGTGAGAGCGTGCAATAGTGGCATATTGATTTAGTTGGGTAAGTTTTAACAATTATCACAATTTTATTGTGATAATAATGGCACTTTTAAAAGTGTCGCTATTGTATGGGTATATTTATAGTAATAAGGGTGTATTTGAATTTGTATGAAGCATCTTCAATAATTGTACCATAAATGCTAATATTTTTAGAGACCTACTATTTACTAATTAGAAATTTATAAATTGTGCCACTATTGACAATAAAATTTAAATAATTTTTATCAAAATTTTAGTTACTTTGTTTTAGTAATTACTATTTCATTTTGTATTAAAGCTAAATACAATCATTTTGCATAATAGCTTATTTCTTACTGTAAACAAAATCGCACCTCAAAGCCAAACGTGGTCGTACTTTTTTAAACACCAATAAAGTAAAATATTTTTCTTATTTTAGTGATTACCGCAAGCTATTTTTACTTTTGATGAATACTTAAATATTTTGTTTTTGATACTAGAAGTTATACACTACACACTATAATACTTTTAAAAAATACAAAAACTTTTGGACGCTGTAGGTATCAGATTGAGATCTGTCGATAAAGACAATAAAAATATTTGCAAGATTGCACGACTCGTTTCAGAGCCAAGTGATGTCGAGATTAAAAATATAAATTCTTGTGAGAGTATTATTGAATTTGAACAAGAGACCCTTCATGTTGAAACATTAGAAAACAAGTCATTTGAAGAAAGTAATGATGTTCAGTTACAAACTGCTGTAATAATGGAAGTAGAAAATATTTTGTTGGAAGAAGTTGAAGGAATACAAGATCTGCACACATCTCAAAAAGAAAATTCAATAGAAAACCAATTTTCTCTTTGGTAAATGTAAACATTTTGAACCCTTTTGAAGAAGACGAAGGTGACGGTTTTTCAGATGACTCTCTTGCTGATCCAAATTATGAAGACGACTTAAACACATCTTTAAGCAGCGACGAAAATGTACCATTAGGAATTTTCACCATGAGGCTAAGAAGAAAAGTAGGAAGAGAAAAAGGATGCCTGAAAATTGGAAGAGAAACCAAGCCAAAACTTTAAGAAATAGCGGCAAGCCATATAGACTTATAAAGGTCAACAAATACCGACCAGAAAAATTAAACCACCATGTGGAGAACATTGCAAATTTACAACAGAGAAGAAAGTGGAGAAGAAAGAGAACAGCTATTTAGCAAATACTGGGATTTGAGCAATATCGAGAAGCAAAGAGCATTTATTTCGACACTAATGCAAGAAGTTATGAAAACTGAGACCAGCTTACATAAAAAACGAACAAATAACAATGCATTCTATTTTCCAAAAAATGATCATAAAATTCGAGTATGTAAGATATTTTTTGTATCTACTTTGGGAGTAACAAGCCGTTGCATTCGAAGTGTAATAAGTGGAAGAATAGAAGGCAGTTTCGAAGAAAAAAGAGGAAGACATGGAAAGCAAAAAAATAAGTCTGGCGCCGAAAATTGATATTCGTGTCCATATTGAATCAATTATGAAGATCGAGAGTCACTATACAAAAGCACATTCTAAAAAACAGTATATTGAAGGAGTTAAAACGATTACAGATTTATCGAGTCTATAAGAATTTATGCCTAGCCCAGGACAAATGATTTGTCAGTCTAAGTACATACAGGGATATATTTAATTATGAATACTACCATACTACAGGGGTGTAGGGTTGAGTTATAGAGGTAGTACCTTTTATTGGAACGACCACATCGAGCGTCATAGACGGGAGATGGTTCTAGATAACTGGTCCTCATAAGACATGTAACTCTCACTTATGGCTCCACGTGCCACACCCCGGGCAACTGCATTGGTCTGCAGGCTAAACTAAGTGAGGGTAGCCAGATATGGCGAAAATTTCACCGAGTGATTATCGAGTGATACCCTGATGAAGGGCAGCAGCGATCATCAGTACCAGCTCAAGGCGCAAAGGAAATCATCCTTGATCGGCTTGAAATTGGACTACCACAAGCATGACTGGAGCAGTTTGAATGGTTGTGGTACTGCGATGGGGAAGGCAACGGAAAACCACCTCATAAGAATTTCCTAGAATAGTTATCATGGCAATATCCGGCAAGTCCCGGCAGGGGAGGATGCACACAAACAAATAGTAGGGCCTCCCTGGTCGTCAGCCAGCGAAATCTCTACGGCCTAAAAAAGGAAGTAAGTCCTCAACACCTAACGATTGGAACTTGGAATGTACGAAGTATGTACGAGAGCGGCAAAACTCATAACATTGTAAAAGAGATGAAAAGATTAAAAAAATATATATTGGGAATTAGTGAAACACACTGGCAAAACTCTGGATAATGCGATATACTTGGATATAAAGTTTACTATGCTGGAAACAACACAAAACATCACAGAAATGGCACTGCAATAATAGTTGCCCCACATATTAATTCGGCAGTAAAATCTTTCACTCCCCATTCAGATAGAATGATGCTTTTACAAATTCAAGCAACACCGGTGGATATTAACTTATTACAGGTATACGCGCCAACGGCAGATAAAGATGAGGCAACCAGCGAAGAATTCTATGAACAACTGGGAAGCCTGATGAAAATGACAAAAAAACATGAAGTAACAATAGTGATGGGAGATTTCAATGCAAAGGTTGGCAGAGGCAAGGTGAATGACTTCGTGGGAAACTTCGGCCTAGGGGAGAGAAACGATAGAGGTGATAGACTTATATGCTTCTGCCAGGAATATAACCTGCTGTTAAGTAATACACTCTTCAAGCTCCCCAAACGTCGACTTTACACATGGAAATCCCCCGCTGACTCACCTGACAACATCATTAGAAATCAGATAGATTATATAGCAACCAACAAGATATAAAAACATGATAAAATGTACACCATAGAAAAAACCCAGTACCTTCTGCTCGATTACATATACAGGCAAAATAACAACAAGAATAGCCAAACACATAATAAAGAAAGGAATAACACCATCTTTCCGAACAAATAACAACCTAGGCAAATACATCAAAAATAATTTAAATGTGGCGATTGCCCAAAAACTTACATTGGTCAAACTGGTAGAAACTTTAATAAAAGAATAGCAGAACATAAAAGGGCTTTCAATAATAGAAAAACAGATCCGACATACGCACTTCACCTTCTAGATCATAACCATTCTTTTAATGACAAATTTAAAATTCTTCACATTCAAAATAAAGGCATTAAGCTATCTTTGTTAGAATCTATGGAAATCAACAAATTAAAAAACACAGATATAATTCTGAATGACCAACTTGAGACAAACAGTTCTCCCCTCCTCAACCTATTTCATTAGAGACTATAAAGTGTAAACGCAAGCCAAAAATAGATCACTTGAGAAAGGCAATCAGCCGAAACAGCTGTAGTGATAAGAGTTAAAATAAATTTTGTGGAAGTTTGAAAACAAAGTTTTCAGTATTTTATTGTTACATATTAGGTAATATTTTTCTTTTATGTTCATTCACTATACTAAAAACTTATCTAGTCAGTTTTTTCAAAATATTTACGTTTTTTATTGTTAGAGTTTGTTTCTTTTCATTTTTTTGTAAATAGGATATTTTTACAGAAACGAGTTGTAATATTTTGTCGAATAAAAATCCCAATAAAAGCATTTTTTTTATTTATTTTTATAATCTTCGTCTTCAATTTGTTACTTATTTTAATTGTTTTAAAGAAAATATAAATGTCAATAATGGCACATTTTTAATAATTTTAATTTTTTTCTTAAAAATAAAGAAATTTTTTTTATCATTTTATATGTTTTTTTATAAATAACAAAACATGAGAAAAATATTTAGAACTGACATAAAAATATTCACGAAAATCTCAATTTACTATTTTTAAATTACAAAACTTTTATTTTCTACAAAGTCTAATTTATTAGATGTGCCATTATTGCATCCAGTGAGCGAAAAGACGAAATAAATAAAAGAATAATTTCGGTTATCAAATAATACATTTTTATTTAAATATTTTACAAACTAAATGTAAATCATTAACTTCATTATTTTTCAGATAGATCCGATTAAAATTCTGACTTTGAACATTGGAAAACGCTTTTTGTTTGATAACATAAATGTCAGTATCACCCAAGTTGACAGTCTGTAGGGATGGCAAATACTCAAACGAATCATTTTCGATATTTTCAATATTATTACCTTCCAGATATACTTCTTGCAATGTTGTAATGTTCACAAAAGTGCCATTTTTTATTTCCCTTATTTTATTGTTGCTCAAATCTACGCTGTTTATATTATCCAAAGCAAAACTGTTTCTTTCTATCACTAAGATGCTGTTATCTCCAAGGTTAATCTTTCTTAGATCTTTTAGAGATGCCAAATCTCTGGAGTAGACACTTCTGATGTAATTTTTCGACAAATCAACGTACCTCACAGTATTTATGTTATTTAAAAACTTCAAGTTGCTTATTTCGTTGTTGGACAAATTTAAGGTAGCTACATGTAAGTTTAAAAAAGCGTTGTCTTCGATTTCTTTAATCCCAGAACTACACAAATCCAGCTGGACGATATAAGCGTCTTTAAAAACACTGTTCTTTAAGATTGTGAAATTATTATGACACAAATTGAGTCTGCCTAAGTTATAATTTTGAAAATAGTCACTAGAAATGTCACTGATTGAACAATATGATAGATCAAATGTAGCATTGCTACCTTCTTCGAAAAACAACGGCTGAAAATCATACTTAGACCTATCTAAATTACCAATATCGGTATGTTGTAAAGTAAGAAGGTTCCTTACTTTAATTTTCTTTAAATCGAGCTCAGTTACATCTCCTTGGAAGTAAGATAAATTGAAATATTTTATCTCTATTGGTAACGAATCATTTTTAACATTAGTAGCCCACAACTTCAACTTACTGTTGCCAGAAAAGTAGAATTTATCTATGTAAACTGTTTTATTTTGTTCTGAAATGTTGTACCAATAATGTCCAGGCATATCTGTGTAACTTAAGTCCAGGCATAATGAGGGTATGTTGGTATATTTGGAGATTTTATTGTAGCTGAGGTCGACACATTTGATATTTTTGATGTATTCTTGAGAGTCTGAAGTTACGATTTCGTTGTGAGATACGTTGACTAATGTAAGGTTTAAATTGTTTTTAAATACAGTAAAATCGACGTTGGTTAGTTTACAATAGCTGAGATCGATCACTTCTAACTTTTGTAATTGTTTAAGATCATCAGTAACTACTGATATTTTATTATTACTTAGATATAGTTCCTTCAATTCCTCTGAAAGTTTTGTAACGACATCTAAGCTGTCAATATTATTTCTACTTAGATCTAAAGCTTGTAGATTCTTATAATCGTCTTTAATATCTTCTGATATATCACTTACTTCACATTCATTAATTCTAATGATTTTTGTGTTGTCTTTGACATCATCTGGAAGGGCTTTTAGAAAGTGTTCTACTGACGACAACGGCAATTTTGAAAATACGAGTTCTTCCACTTGTACACCATTTGTATTCTTCGAATTAAAATCAAACATTAACGATTTATCATCACCTCCTGTACACTTAAAAGCTTTATCAACATATTCACAGTCTTGTAAACTTTTCACAATCAACGATACGAAAATAACCAAACAGGTTAATTGTTGAGCCATGGTTTTACAATTGATACCTTCGTCTGCCGTTTATAGTTGTTATTATAAACGTATTATACAAACAATTGTATTGTGAACAAAAGAAAAATGATTTGTTTAATTTTTTGTTGGACATTTCTGTGGGGAATCCACAACAAATTAGTTTCGGGTCATAAACTCCGTATTAAATAAAAAATTGTAATCGAATCATCATAATTTTTTCAAGAATAGAGGGTGCAACCAATAATAGATTTATTCGTAATATTGTATACAACAATGTAACTTTGTATCGGTGTTTAGTCCTATTGTTTCTTCTTTTTCTTTATTCTGTGAATTCCACATGAATATTATCTGGTTCAACTGGTTTACCTTTCTTTATTTTTTAAAGTCTTTCAGCAACATTTAACTTTGTTATTTTGGTCAATACTACTGCTTTGGTTCTATCAATTTTCTGTCAAACTTTTAGTTAAATAAACTACCAATAGCACAGTACATTCAACCAACTTACACCTCAAAACAAGAGAAAGTGAAGTAAATAGCTGGGAAGATTTGGCAGATGTTTTGACAGAAGTAGCTGAAGATAAGCTGGGTAAAAAAGAGAAACATGGAAAAAAGTGGATGTCAGATGAAACTTGGAATCTTATCAAGGAAAGAATACAGCAAAAGAAACATATTTTGCAAGCAAGAACTGTAGAAGAAAGAGCGAACCGACAACAAAAATATGAAGCAATAAATAAAGCAATTAAAAAAAATTCATGAAGAGACAAAAGAAGGTGGGCTGAAGAACTGGCAAAACAAGCTTAAACAGCTGTACAACACAACAGAACTAGAGAGCTATACCAAATTACTAGACGAATAACAACAAATGGGCCCAACTGTTCAAACATTGTAAGATCCAAGACAGGCGAATTATTTACTACAACAAATGACCAAGTAGAGAGATGTAAAGAGCATTTTCAGGAGATGCTAGTCAACGCAGATGAAATTGATGAAAACCCGCAGAATGTAGCCTTGCGTATATCTTGCCAGGCTCCTTCCAAAACGGAGATAATAACAGCTATCAAATCTCTGAGAAATAACAAGTCTCCGGAAATCGATAACATTGCTGCCGAAATACTTAAAACTGATCAGCACCTAACTGCTGAACTTTTGCTCTCAATAATCCGAGAGGTATGGGAAACAAACCGCATTCTAGCGGCTGGAAAAGGGGTAACATTATTAAGCTTCCTAAAAAGGGCAACCTCACACTGTGTAAAAATTGGAGAGGAATAACCTTGCTTACCGCAATAGATAAAATCTTCACGACCATCATACTTAAAAGATCAAACAAGATTGAATTTCGAGCTGGCCAAACAGACTTTAGACAAGGCTAACATTAGGCAGGCAGGTAGACAGGCTTTAATCAACAGCGACTACTTACTGGAGTCAGACAGGGATGTGTGGTTTCTCCGTTTCTTTTTAACATATCAGTAGACTCTGTTCTCTCCAAACTATACTCCAACACAAGAGGGATACAATGGACGTTAACCACGCGCCTAAGCGATCTGGAATACGCAGACGATTTCTGCCTGTTAGGACAAAGGTTCCAAGATGTGGCTGATCAATTGGAAACACTTCCACTGAAGCCAATAAAGTAGCTTTGAAAATCAATATTAGTAAAATCAAGTCCATGAGAATAAATGCAAGGAACAACACGCTATTCACTATCGACAATATGCAGATTGAAAATGTGGAAAACGTATCTTGGAAGTGTCATAACAGAAAGCGAGAGGCACAGAGGACGATATTCGTATGACGATACGAAAAGCTCAACAAGCATTCAGCATGCTCAACCCTGTTTGGAGATCTGGCGAGTATACTACAAGGATAAAGATCCACATATTCCAGTCAAATGTCATGTCTGTTCTACTCTACGGATGTGAAACCTGGAAAGTGACAAAAACCGTTACATATAAACTGCATTTGTTCGTGATTTCTGGCCCATCATAATCAGAAATGAAGATCTACTACACCTGACCGAACAAAAAAGGGTAGAACATAAAATAAAGTCCAGAAAGTAGGCTTGGATTGGTCACACACTTCAAATTATTCCAGTATTGCAAATATTGCTCTAGAGTGGAATCCCCAAGAAAGAAGAAAAGAGGTCGCCCAGTACATCGTGTGTCAGTACAGTACAGTGAACGTCCCATCATGGACGAGATAGAGGCCAAGGAAAGTCTTGGAATAAGGTGAAGATCTTAGCGCAAAATAGAACCCGATGGCGCATTTTCACTGAAACTCTATGCTCCTTAGGAGTTTAAGAACCGGGCGTATCTAAGGAGATTAAGGGAGCAGCGTGGTAACTGCTACATCTTGATGTGCTGGAGTGTTCATTCGAAATTTGGAACTTGGAAACGATATTTAAAAATTCCTGGTCTTTTTTAAACATACCTCATGTATCAACATGTAGCTCAAAAAGCAGATTACAGTTTTACAAAGCTATTCGTGGATTCAGTTAGCTAACTATCAAACGCTATCAAACGCAATTATTTTGTATTGATTGGTCTGTTATAGCACGTTGTTTTTGACAATGAATGGTAATGGTATCTTCTTCTTCGTCTAGCCATTCACGTCCACATCTGAACATAAGCCTCTTCAAGTCTTCCTTTCCATTGTTTTTTATTGTACGCTACTTGTAGCCAATTTTTCCCGGCAGTCCTTTTCAGATCATCTGTCCATCTCATAGGAGGTCTGCCTCTGGGTCTTTTGTGTTGGTATGGTCTCCAGGTTAAAATTGATCTGTGCCATTTGTTTAGATCGCTCCTAGCTACATGTCCAGCGTATTCCCATTTCAACTTTAATGATTTTTGCACCACATCGGTGACTTTGGTTTTCTGTCTTATCCATGTGTTTGTTTTCTTGTCCTTAAGTGATATACCTAGCATTGCTCTTTCCATCGCGTGTTGAGTGACTCTAAGTATATTATATTCTTTTTTGTGATTGTCCATGTTTGTGCCGCATAAGTTAATATCGGAATAATGCATGCATCAAAAACTTTAGATCTAAGATGTAATTGAATTTGTTGATTTCTGAGTATATAGTTCAGTTTACCAAATGCTGCCCAAGCTAACTTTCTTCTTCTTTTTATTTCTTCAGTTTGAATTTCCCTATTTAGATTATTTTTGTCCTAAGTATATATTCTTCAACTTTTTCTATAACTTTATCGTTTATTATTGTCACGGTGTCTTCGGAGTGCATGACTTTTGTTTTGTTTAAATTCATTTTCAGTCCTATTTTAGAAGATTCGGTATGTCGTTCTAAAAGCATGGTTTGCATTTCTTGTAGGTCAGTAGCTATCAGGATTATGTCATCTGCAAATCGTAGATTACTGAGGTAGCGGCCATTGATGTTTATTCCCTTATATTTCCAATTTAGGTTTTTAAAAACGTCCTCCAAAACTAAGGTGAACAGTTTGGGTGATAAAGTATCTCCCTGTTTGACTCCCCTGTTTAATGGTACAGGGTTCGTGTGTTCATTTTCATTTAGGTAGTATGTAGCTGTAGCTTGGTTTATAGTTTCTTTTATTAAGTTAATATATCTGCTGTCTATTCTACAATTTTGCATTGCGTTTATTACGGCCGTGTGTTCTATGGTATCGAAAGCTTTTTCGTAGTCTACAAATGCTAGGAAAACTGGAAACTTGTATTCGTTACATTTTTCTATTAATATTTTTGTGGTTAACAGGTGATCGGAAGTTGAATAGCCTTTTCTAAAACCTGCCTGTTCATATGGTTGGTATTCGTCTAATTTCCTTGTTAGTCGAGTAGTTATGACTTTGGTGAGTATTTTAAACAGGTGTGACAGTAGGCTGATGGGTCTGTAGTTTTCCAATTTTCGACTATCACCTTTCTTGTGTAATAAGATTACTTTAGAGTTGTTCCAGCTCTGAGGGACTTTGCCCTGATGTAAACAACTGTCCACAAGCTTAGTTACAATTGCAATTAGTTCCTTACCTCCTTCTAATATCATATCTGTGGTAATACTATCTTCTCCTGCAGCTTTATTTCTCTTCATGTTTTCCAATGCTGTAGTTACCTCTGAAATTGTTACTTTTGGCATTATTTCTGATCCAACATTTTTTATTAATTTCCGTGCTGGTCTCATCTTATCATCTTGTTGCTGTGTTCTGTAAAGTTCTGTGTAAAATTCTTCTATTCGTGTCAGTATGTTTTCTCTAGTTGTGATTTCATTTTCGTCTTTTCCCATTAATGATATCATCTGACGTCGTCCTAGCATCGGTCTGAGGCATTTAATACTCTTATTTTTTTCAATAGTTGTTGTTATTAATTTTTCGTTTTCTTTTTTTTTTGTTGTCTGATTCCTTTTCTAATCTGCCTATTAAGTTCTCTATATTCGTCGGTTCCCCTTTTGTTAGATTTATTTAAGATCTTCCTTCTTTTTATTTGTTGTAATATTTCTTTGTCTAATTCATTGTATGTTGTTTTTGGTTTTTTCAGTTGCAGAAGGCTTTTATTCACTGTTTCGGTAATAAGGTTATTCAAATCATCAATATAATTGGAGTTTATCTGCTGCATGCTAATAATGGTAATGGTATATTATCTTAATTAACTTTGTTATGATTATCTTTTTGTTACATGCGAAAAGACCTGTTATAGGCTCGAAAGGGCCTGTAACTCGCCACCTGTGTCTTCTTCTATTACCTTTTTTAATTCTAAGTATTCTTAGTGATTCGCAATTATAAGTCTTAATTATTTGAGCTTAATTTCTATATTTTGATCTACCCTGTAAATTTATCTACTATTCGTCACGCTATTGTTAGATGTTATCGATCAAACTAATTTGACATGCATTCCTTACCATCCAAAACAAATAGATTTTGGGTGCAATGGCAGCAGCGAGTCAATATACCGATTATGTGATTCAAACTAACATTTTGTAAGTATTTTAGGAGCTGATTTTTATTTCTATGAAAAACGAGTGCTTTTATTTGTTTGAAGGAAGTCCTTGGAGGTTCTCGAAGA